CTGATTGTGTAAACCATAACATTTATGTAAAAAAAAAAAAAAAAAACTCCCTTCTAAGGGAGGTTTTCGTTTGTCATATATGATATTCTAATTTTCTGAGAAACTGAATGTGATTTATTTATTTTTTCCCCCAAGATCATCAAATTTTTAAAATCTCTGAATAGGTCAGGGTTTCCTGTGCTCCCACCAGGCTAAGCAAGGCTTTATAGTTAGTGTTCAGATATTAATCTCCCAGTCTGTCAATAACAAATAATTATCAAGTGGTATTTTCAAATTTCCTGTTAACTTTAAACATTTTTTTTAACTCAAAAACACAACAACCAGCGGGATGAATGACTGCCCTAGCAACCAACCACCAGGCTTAGCAAGTTTTGAGGGAAAACTTGCATGTTGTAGTGTAGTAATATGGTTTCACTTACTAAAATAAATTTTTTGATATTAATTTATTATTATTTTTCTGATATTTGTGTTATTGCTAGCGCTTTAAAGCGACCTAGCATGTCCATGTCAAAGTGTGGCGGCGGTCATGTGTGATGGTCAGTAGAGTGTTAGATGAATGTGATGCTACAGGTCAACAAAGGACGACCGCTGTCCTATTCAGCGGTGCATTCAGGCTGGGATCAGCAGCCTGTGGATGAGGCCTCTGATGCATCTGTGCCTGTGGCTGCCTCATCTCTGCAAACAGGAAGGGCTTGAACAACTGGCCTCAATTCTCTGCTGACTCCTTCATTGTGTGGGGCCAGTTAAGTGTGGCGAGCTTTGTGTCTGTCTCTTTGGAGTCCATCTCCCACACTTCAGGCTCATTAGTGTCACAGACTCGTTTATTTGGGCTGCGTTCTCATTTCTACGTGACTTTTTATTCTTTTTGCCTCTTCTTTTTGCTCCTTGTGTTGCAGGGAGTGGTTGTGTCTTTTCATATATGTTTATGTAAGCGCGTATGTCTTCCCTATTCCCTTGGTGCACATTGGCATTGTGGCTGGCTAATGTGAATAGGCTTTATTCCCTGCGGACATCTGATTATGGGCTCTATTTCTCTTTTCCTCTCTCCCTGATTAACGGGTGCGGTGACAAACAGACCAGCTGGGCGAAGGGAAGCGGCTCTAGGAGGGGAGGAGAGATGACGGAGAATGAAAAAGAGAAATGCGGTGGTGCTACCAATCATGCCGCTGGCTCTGTCCTGTTTTTTTTTTTTTTTTTGACCTATGTCATTCTGATTGCTGAATGTGTGTCTGCATCCTACAGTTTAGGTTGGGGTTCAACCCTCAGGCATTGGGCCGTGCCCCACTTTGGTTCCTTTCGTTTTCAGACTGATTTTTATGCAAAACATTTGCTGCAGTTCGGATCTGACTCGGAAAGCCTCTGGAGCATAATTCAGAATAATATTTAAAGATGAAGGAGCAGCATTTTAAAATACTTTCACACATTGCACAGGCCAGCCTGACAGATGTGTTGACCCATATGCAGAACGTTGATGCCCCTGTGTTGACAAGGTGGATTTAGATTTGACTTTTCAGAAACACAATTTGGGTACAAAGCCAAGCACGTGTGACTTTTTTTTGCCACATTGTGTTGCGTTTCTGTGTGTGAGGATGAGTACAGTACCATAGTAGGTCAGGGGATTGTTTGTCTGATCCATTGAGGAGTGATTAGTGCAGACACAGTGAGCCGGGGTTCTTCTCACTCATAGAGGGGGAGGATGTCCACTGGCAGACTCACTGGTCCGACTCCCCACCAACCCCCACCCTGAACAGCTCCCAAAACCAGACGACAAAGAGGACAGATTGGCCCTGTGGCTTTTCCTTTTTATTTTATTTTTATCATGTTCTACATAATAAACACAATTGGTCACATAATGTGTGAGCATTCCAGTGTTCATTTATTTTTATCATGTGTCCAAAACCTCTATTTACCTTGGTAATTCTTAGGACATGCACAACAAAGCACGGGTAACGATTGAAGATTGACTGCAATGGTAGTCGTGTCACCTCGAATCTGAAAAGTAGTCGATATTCATAGCCAGTTTGCACAAAAGGCAGTACGGCCTTGGCCAATGCCTGGGGTGTGGTTTAGTTGAGAGGTGACAGGTCAAGGAAGGATGAGGGGTGCGGAGGAGGTGTTTTGCCTTCTTTGCTAATCCCTGCATTTAGTTTCTATTCCGAGACACTTCGTAATCTACTACTAATGGGATTTACCAAGCCGTGTTTTTTCAAACTTCTGTTGAAATACTAAAAGACTTTTTCATTTATTTAATCAGCTGTGTGTTACATTCACAATGATGGATAAACCAATATATTGTGCAAATAGCAAATTTTTTTGTGTCTACCTTTTTTTCTTTTAATGTATTGTTTTCTCTTTTATTGTAAATGAATATTTCATATTGTTTTATGGTAGTTTTTTTTAGACCCTACACAGTTTTGTTTAAAATAGTTTGAAAAAGAATTTAACACATTTATCTCTAAGCTTTACTTTCACACTGAAAGTACAGAAAATAAAGCACAAGTTCAGTTCATGTTTTTTAGTGGCTCAGGTGAATCTGTACTAACATACTGTGGTAGAATAATAATCCAAATGACATCTGTTCTTCAAATTAAAAGTTTCACCTTATGCACTTTTTATTGGAAGAATATTCTTTTAATTTGATCAGAAATTGACAATGAATGTAATCTGGATTTGTCCAGAAGAGTCTCTTGGTTCATAGGAAGCAGAATCTAAACAGAAATGTGTGAAATTAAAAGTAAAGAAGAAGTTCTGCTATGGTAGAACTTTTTCTTCAAAAATTCATTATATTGAGAGCTGAAATGCTCACTTATACTAAGTTCTAGGTTCTGTTGGTTGAAACGTATCTTATCCATTTTTCCGTTTCCCCAATGATTTCTTTCTGTCACTTTGGTTTCACAATGACATCAGTAAAATTAAGATATAAAATAGCAGATTACAATAAACTCTATAATTATCGACCAGATTAGGGCTAGTAAGCAGAAAGTTTCAGTAGTGCCCATTGTGTGTACATCAGTGTTATTCAAATGGTCAGAATTTTTGATTTGGTAGGGAGCTGGTTGCCATGTTTTGTGCAGCAAATGTTGAGAAATTGTCGTTTCAAAATGCTCCTCATTTAAATAGTTTTTATTTGATTGACAAGAGTCAATTTATTCTTACTAAGAATATAAATAATTATTTGCTGTCAAGTTTTCTTGACAAGAAAATGGCTTTGTCTTTTGTGAATGGTTAGCACACAAAGACTGGGCTGTCTGAGCTGAATAAGCGGTGTGTGGAGACAACTTTTGTCGGTTGCTTGTGTTCTTTCTTCACGTTGTTGAAATATTAGCAGCTACAGTACTTTTTACAAGACGTTCTGTCTCTTCCACAATAGAATAAGGTTGGATACATTTAGCAATGACACATCACAATACCTAAGTTGTGACATTGGTGCTGTTTACAGGCAGCAGGCAGTGGACATTCTGTCCTTCCTTTTTATCATCCATAATTAACCCCATTGTTTTCTTAAGCCAACCTACATATTAGCTGTGTTGCCACTAACATTAATAGGTGCACATTTGCAGTTTTATGCACTCTAAAAGTGCATTCAGTGTTGGCTTTTAAAAAGGAATAGACTAGGAATTACTAGGCCTGTCACGATAACAAATTTTACTGAATGATTGTCACAGATGTTATTGCAATAAATGATAATGTTGTTTTGAGACCATTTTCAAAAAATATAATGGTAATGAAATAAAAATAATGCAAGAATACATTGTCAAAGATCAATAAACGTCATTCTAATGAACATTTAACACTGGAACTGGGAGACATTTCAAATATCCAAATAAACAAAAAAAAGAAACAATAAATCGTTCAAATAAGAATTAGTGCGTTTCTTCTAATTTATCAAGCGATTAATTGATTTATTGTGATAGGCCTAAGAATAACCTTTGGGCCTCGCAGCTGCATTATGCGGGCTGTGTCCATGTCCTAAGCTGAAATACAAGTTTTTGTAAACTATTGAACCTCTACAACAACAACAACAACAACAAAACTGTAGTGTTCATTCATTCATGCCATGCACCCTGAGTTTAATTGTGAATGGTTAATTTATACCAATAACTCCATAGAATTGAACAGTGATTTCTGTAAGGAGCTTCACTTAACCTTTGTGTTTGTGATGGTCTTACATTCCTGATTATACTCAGAGGTATTTTTGTGTTACTTTATGGATGTGCATGTTAACAAAGTCCTATTGCATTTATTATGAAATAAATCCAATAAAAGTTCTTGTTTCTTTTTTTCCAACTTTGGGAGTTTCTGCAAGAGTGAATTTAACTAAAGTACTAATACACAATGTTCTATCAGTTGGCCTATCACAGTAACAAATTTTGCTAGACAAATTGTCCCAGAACTTATTGTGATAGTGGATATTGTTGTTTTTGAGAAAATTTTCAAGTAATATAATAGTAATAATGGCACAATAATGCAAGAACACATTCTCAAGGGTCAATATAGTTGAAATTCTAATGAACATTTAAAAACTGGGACTGGCAGACCTTTTAAAATGTGATTAATTGATTTATTGTTACAGGCCTATCCGTTAGACTTGTAACTGCATGAACTGCTGTTGTCCAGGTGTACATCAGGTGCTGTTGGGTGACTGCCTGACTGACTTGGTGACTTAACTTATCTTAAGGTTTTTATCTGTTACCCTCACTGGCAGTTGCACCGTCCAGTCTACTATTTGCATATGCGTGCCATAAAACTACATTAAGTAAAGTTCAGTGGAAAGTTGTGTAGAAAGCAAGAGGTACCTTCACATACCTCTGTTCACTTAAATGCAAAGTGCCTAGGATAATATTTTTGACGGAAAAAGAGCCTAGGATTATGTTTTTTGTGGATTAATTCTGATATAACCTTTTTAGGTTCAGTCTTGCAAATTGTCTAGTGTTGTATTGTCCTCTTTTTGTGCCATCACTCACTTTGGACGCTTTTTGTTTTCTGTTTCCTGTTTCTAGATTGAATGTGTTTTCCCCAAGCCTCGACACCATGAGCACAATCTCACCAACAGATTTTGACAGCTTGGAGATCCAGCAGCAATACAATGACATCAACAATCGCTGGGACCTGGCGGCAGAGACAGACTGGGACAATGAGAACAGTTCGGCACGTCTCTTCGAACGCTCTCGCATTAAAGCGCTCGCAGGTATGTTGTGTTCAGGTAGTTCCCCATGGTTATTAAAGCAGGTCTAACCTGTGATTTAATTAGATTCTGTAGTGTAATTGAGCAGGGTGAGACAAATGTCTTAGAATCTGTTTTGCTCTTTTTTAGCTCTTCCTGAATGCTTTTGGGACTCATTGCTGGTTAATGAATTGAGTTTGTTTTTCTATTTAGAGCTTCATCTGGTCTTCATTGTTCTGGAAATTGAGTCAATTTTCACTAATCTGGCTTCTCTTGGCTAACACTCTTATTTTTTTCATTTCTTATCTGGTGTTTCCTATTTTCAGCAGATTCAGATTTTTATTTGTATTTCTTCCTAAGATTGTAGCACAGAGGAGGGGAGAAATGGTTTATTGAAGTAGATATGAATATAATAGAAAATGCAGATTATCCCTGTTTATGCAAAGAATTGTGTTTTCTTGCCTGCCTTGTTTTTATTCATGTCAAAGTTTGTGCAGTTGACTGACTTTACAGACCTGAAGTGGTGGAAGTTCTTGGTTTAAATGCATATAATAAATTGGAGGAAAAATTTTCCAGTTTTTTCAGTATGTTGACCAGCCAATTATTGGTCAATGCTGATTATGGGAATGTTAGATTATTTCAGTGTCTCGCTGGTTAATTTGTGGAAATAATTGGTTTTGGTCTAAGCAATGTTATGAAATGTTCAAGTACACGGCAAGAAGGACAGTAGCTTCTAAATGTCATAATTTTGAAATTTAAAAAAGGTTTTCCAGGTTATTGATGATCAAGTATTTGTGTATTTTGCATAGCATAGTTCATGTAAAACACACATTTTAATTTTTACATAGAAATATTTATTAAGCAATCCCTGACTAACCATAGCTAGAATAATGAAGGCGTGCTGACCCACCCATTATTTTCTTTTCAAGTTTGTAATTAATGTATTGAACTGAATTAGTTATAAATTTCTTGCAAACTTTGAATTTATACATTCATATGCTAGAAAGTCAAGATTATTTGTGGCTCAGTTTGGAAACTTTGAAGTAACTCATTAAATTTTACAGAAGAGACAGAATACACTACATCTCATTATCATATGACAACTCACTCAGCATTGAGTGAGTCCTTTTGTATCTTTGTATCTTTCATCTCCATTTTTGTCATAAGGTTGTCCAAATAATGTATGTCATCAGTAATATTCAGGGCTAGAAATATTGTACAGTGTAAATTTACTTTTTAGTCCTTACATTTACAGATTCACATCAACGCAAAAAACTTGCTTTGGTTTTTTTTACATTTAGGCAAATTGGAAATTTTTTAAATAGCATTTCTGATAAAAGGGGATTTTGTAGTGAGTTTCAGTTGAGACAAAATCATAACCTCATAGTAATGTTCACAAATCTAATTAGGCTTTGTAGACGAGGGAGCAGATGTGATTCTTTTGTATCCCAAAAGGCACGAGCCTTTCTTTATAGGCCAAGACCAAAATACATCCGAAAGGAGGACAAAGCTGAAGAGCTGATCAGAACAGTCCAACTTTTGCATAAATGCTGCAACTGATCACTAGTTCTAATATAACACAGCTGTTATATTGGATGCATAGCAGAAAATTTTGGTGACAGCTTGATTTTTTTGCCTTTGATAATCTCGTCATCCTTTGGTATGCTAACGGGCCTCTGTGTCCTACAAAATAATTTTTAGTGAGATATTAAGAAGCACTTTTAGTTTTTCATTCATTGATTTTATGTGTTTGAGCAGAAGAACATTAAAGATTTGTATTTATATGTTGCTGTCAAAAACTGTATTTTCAAAAGTCAAAACAAGTTGCAGTTTTCTGAAGAGCCCAGCAGAGGGAAGTAACAGATTAGCCACTGAGGCACACACTGATGTGTCCAGTAACTCCTGCATAAGGATGGAAAACCACAGTTACTTATAATCTTTGAACAACCCTTCAGTTCAACAATTGAACTGAAGACTTAATTGACTTAATTTCTTAGTGAAATGAAGTCTAATTTCACTTAGAAATGAAATCTAACAAACTTGTTCAGTTACTTGCTTGTACATCGTAGTTTGTTTTTAGTCTCATGTTCTTCACGCATTTAAATATCTTAAACGTCCATTCTTTGCATTTTGCAGCAAAACACTCTGCAATACTGGTTGCATTGGTCTTTCCAGAAATCCAGTGTGTGTGAATGCAGCAGCCTGAACGCCTCTGATGCCCTCTCAGTTTAACAAGTGTGGGCTTGATGTGCACATTCTTTCACATGCTCTTGCAGCTATTCCCCGAAGGCTCAGCTCCAGCCCACTTTTAACAGCTTATTTTTTCCCAAACATCAGCGACTCTGCCTTCTACATTCTGAGAAGTGCTGGACCTTTCTACGTAGTTTCTTTTTCAATCCAGATTTTACGATAAAAATATTTGCCATATTTCATCTTTTACATCTGCTGGCTGGGAATCAATGTACATGTGGTGAAGCGATCACCTCTTGGTTCTTTGGTTTGCTCTTTGGTTCACAGTTAAGAGCTTCCTTTTCCCTAATTTACATCTATACCCGCTTATCTGCTCTCCAGTGTGTGCAGCACAACTAGCTCTAGAAACTTTGCATAAGTTTAAGAAACACCCTCCTTCACACTTGAACAGTTACCCATACAGTGTTTATGGTTGGAGGCTCCCACACCTGGGAACAGCGAGGCTTTCAAAGAGCTTCGATCTCTAAAGATTTTCAGTTTCTTTTGGTTGAAGCTCATTCTTGGAAGCATGGTCTTGTCATAAATGAAAGCAATGTGAATACATACTTACGCCACTCTTTTTACACATAGCTTATACTTTCCACAACCTGCATCAAAAAGCATTTTGTGGGTAAATACATTTTAATGCATTGAATTAGCCTCTCATTTGTACAATGATAATGGAGTCTTCTTAGGCTTCCACTAAAGTATTGATAACATGAAGAAGCTGAGTGATAAATCTTAGCATTTTTCCCTGACTCCCCCATTTGTCTTTATCTGTTTGTCTTCCTCCCTGGAGTTCATTCACTGCACTGCACTGGACATAAATGAACCATCATTAACGTTAACTCTTAAAGTTTCCCTTTTGAACAGATTTCCCTATTTTTTTTTTTTCAAAGTTACTCCAGATTTATTTAGTTATTGTTAATCTTATTTAACATATTTTTCTCCATCTGATTTATGACTGTGTTACAAACCTCTACTGATTCACAAGCACAGGCAAACATGCTGTCTCGTCTCCGTTTTATGTTAAATAGGATTGTGCCCTTTAGGATACAAAAACAAGCATTAGTATGACTTGCTACTTTCCTCCCTGCATGTGTCCATTGTGTAGCCTCTGTTCCTCAGAAGGAAGGCTGCACTCCTCATTTCTCATTACTATAGTACTCCTCCATAAACAGCCAGTCACAAAAAAAAAATCCCTGAAGCATTTTGTCCTTTTAATAAGATCCATCCAGGTGCTACCAGCTCATCTGAACAGAGATCTGAAAACTTTACTTTTTGGTCAGTTCTTTATATTTAGTCTCCTATCACACATTAAACCACTTACTTTGTCCTATGGTGCTTAAAATTAATATAAACTTTATTACATTACACTTTTAAATAAACTCTTAGTATTTTAAAAATATTTCTCTTGTTTTGGAAGCTTAAAATGTGCTTAGGTCGCACACTGTCACTGCCACCCCCTCCAATCCTCTACATTGCAAACAGATTGTTGACAGTTTCAAACCTCATCAGGAAGGAAAGTACTCGTTGCATTTCTGAGACTTTCTCAATAACTTCCTTCCTGTTTTAACGCCTCCTCATAAGGTAGTGCTCAAGTTTAAAAACAAAAAAAGGGGAGACTGAATGCGATCTAGAAAGTGTGTGGTCATCTCCCATTTCAGTCAAAGATAACATTGTGTAATCCAAGTAGGATTTCTGTGAATCACGCTTTTGGTAAGCCACACCGTGATGGTGGTAGGAGCTAAGATGGAGTTAAATAATCCACCTCAAGGCAGATTGCTCAAAAGACTCTAATGGTTTAGTCCACCTCTACACCTCCTCCCTCCCCTTTGCCCATCCACCATGTTCTTCTTTCATGCTCCTCCCTCAAACACACCTTATGCAAATTGCACAATTTTCAGACTGCACAGAAGGCTTTGTTTACACAGCCATCCGACCGCGGCTCAGTGCTGTGCTGTGCTCTGCTGTTCTTCAGCAAATGCACACTCAGAATTTGGAGGGAAGAAATACCGACAGTTTCTTTGCTAGAACCACAGCGGAGTGCAACTCCAGGCTTTTACTTTATTCATCGACCACAAATGTGGTTAAGTGAACAAGAAAAGGGAGAACTTTTCTTTCTCTGTTTTGTTTCAAATTATTCTGACTTGGAAAAAATTGATTTTGTTCTTTTTGTCCATGCCACTCACTGCTGAGTTTTTCCATGGACAAGTTGGATCGTACAGCATATGAAGAGAAGAACAATATTTAAAGCATTTGTTGTGCCTTGCTGAAGAACCAAGAAATTTTTACGAAAGGGGGATAAACTAAAAACTTTGGGGAAAAAAGAGAACACTTTTGGAAATCTGTGAAAGGACGCTCTGGATGTTGTTTTTTTTTTTTTTTATTAGCTCTGCCGTGCTATGTTGGAAAACTGATTCATTTCGTCTCTATCAGGAATATTTAGCATAAGCATCTTAGGAAACTACAATGGAGTGGGATCACAGGGACAGAGATCCCTGTTTGTCCCCAGCAGCATTTGTTAACCAAGTACAATACTCCAACATCTTGGAGGGAAGATTTAAACAGTTGCAAGGTAAGAATCACAACACTTTTCTCTGGTTGAAAGTAATGGTTTCATTGTAACTGACCTTTTTATAGATCCACTGGATTAGTAAACAAAACTGGTGAGCCTGAGCAAACAATTCTATTGACGTCACAGTTTAGACTTTCACACCAAATTGTGTCCACTCGTATGATATTTCAGAGTCAGAAGCATGGAGTTAGATGTACCCCTTATGTTTAGGGCAGAA